AATATGTCATTTGATATCTTGACTGCTGCTTCCACGAGTGTTGATAGTTGATCCAAGAAGAATGAAGTCCTTGACAACTTCAATCTTTTCTCCATTGAAAAGAATGTTGTTTATTGGTCCAGTGGTGAGGATTTTTGTTTTCTTCACATTGAGATGTAATCCATACTGAAAGCTGTGCCATCTCTGTTAGGTCACTATTATTTAATGTTATTGTTAGTTGCCATGGAGCCAGCTCTGACTCATGGCATTCCCATGTAAAATAGAATGAAATGTTGGCCGGCCCTGTGCTACACACCATTGATGTGTTTAAGTCCATTGTTGCAGCCATTGTGCAGTTCCTTCCAGCACTCTCTCAGATAATAGTCCCCACAGTTATGGAGAGCCTCCCATGGGTCTAGTGTTGAACTTGTGCATCATTTAAATTAACTCTAGTCCTCAAATAATCTAGTAAATCAAGTATTGCTGTCTACTATTTACTGATGCAGTTGTTTTAAGTCCCGTTGAGTCGGTTCCAACCCATAGCAACCTTGTATAGGGTTTCCTTGGAGTAGCTGGTGAGCTAGAATTGCCAACCTTGCAGTTCAAATGACTTTACAGTCTGGTTTCTTAACCCACAGTGCCCCACCAGGACTCCATAATTTAGAGATGGTGGCCTTAGTAACTTGCCAATGTCACTAAGCTAGAGAGGTGAGAGCAGCATGTGTCTCTACTGTTCTCGCGCTCGTTTGCTAACTTCTTTCATTTTGTAAATGAATCCCAGGTTGGAATCTTGTAGAATTAATTCAGCCACATCCATCCATCATTTACATGAACTGAGCACAGTACTGCCCAAATCTCTCCAGCCCATAAGTCTTACCCAAACAAATGGTAACCTCTTTGCCACAAATGGGATCATTTTATGCAGACTTAGCCAGATGTTTGATGTTCCAGGCACACCCATACTCCTCCTCTCCTTTCTTCTTTTCGGCATTTTGTTTTCTTCAGCCACTAGAGTTAGGATTTACAGTTACAGAAAACTGTCTCCTAGAATGAGAAAGAGGAAAAAAAAAAGAATGGGGACAAGAGCCGGCTTAGAGGAGGAACAGCAAAGGTGACAAGAATGGATAAGTGGACAAGGATGGTGACACTAGACAACAGCTGTCAGAAATAATGGGCCTAAGGAGCTCTGGTAGTGTAGTGGTTATAAATCGGGCTGCTAACCTCAAGGTCAGCGGTTCGAAACTACCAGCTGTTCCATGGGAGAAAGATGAGGCTTTCTGCTCCTGTAAAGATTTACAGCCCCGGAAACCCTGTACAGGGTCGCTATGAGTTGGAACCGACTCCACGGCACATAACAAGGTGCACCAGTCACTGACATTTGTATAGTTCTTTATAGTTTTTAAGTCATTTTCATGTCAATGATCTCATTAAAATAGGAAGGTGAAATTCACACAATATAAATGGTTGTTGTTAAGTGCTGTGGAGTCAGTTCCGAATCTTAGGGACCCTGTGTATGGTTCTTAAGGAGCTGCTAGTGGGTGTGAATCACCAACCTTGACATCTTAAAATGAACAGTGACATTTCCTAAATTCTCTGTGTTGTGCAGTTTTCATCTCTATCTAAACAATTGTTATCACTTCAAAACAAAACCTGATAACCATTAAGGGGTCACTCCCCATTTGACACCAATCTCCGGCAACTATGCAGCTGTATTCTATCTCTGTGGATTTACCTGTTGTGGATATTTCACATAAATATTACCATACAACGTGTGGCCTTTTGTGTTGGCTTCTTTCACAGACATAACGTTTTTGAGGCTCATCCAGGTTACCGCTGAGTGGTCTTGCTTTGCGTATCGTGGACACTCTGATCAGGGTGAAACTGAGGCAGGAAAAGCTTGAGTGATTGTCTCAATGTTGCATGCTTCTAACTTGTTCCACATTTGGAATAGACTGTTTATATCCCACAGCAGAAATGTAGTCTCCTGCCTTCCTGATACTTTAATTTTTAAGCCAGTATCATTAAAAGTTTTTTAGGAAGTGAAGATAATTTCCATTCTTTTACACTCAAATCATATAACTACTTAACAATTTTACTTAAGTTCAATTTTTCAAAATTCATTGCTCATGTCAAAGGATTTGACTGAGATAAAGCAAAACTACTGTTCCTTTCAAGGGGGTCAAAATGTTTTCCGCAGATGGGACTGTGTCATATGAGTACAGATGAAAGTGACTTTGTTGTACTCCTCTTCTGGGAGTCTTTCTAGGAATATTACTAAAGTCAAGAATAGGTCAGAAATGAAGAAACCATCGGAATAGAAAGAATAGCTTTAATGGGAAATGGAAATCATTCCTTTTCAAGTTCACAATTTTCATCTTGATGACAGATCTCCAGCCTTGCAGTGTGGAGTCTTTCCAGACACAAAGGTGATAGCCACATTAGGAGTTTGATGCAGCTGTGATTGAAGTCAGCAGGTCCATATGGTGTGAATATTTTACTACAAATGTAAAGGCCATTTATTAAACAGATTCAATGGGAGCAGCCCTGGGCTACAAGTTCATTCAGCATGATGTTTTCTAAGAGGAAATACCATTTTAGTGGAGACGTTTCCTGAACTAGTGAACAGAAGATTTCTTTCCTAGGTTAAAAGTAGTCGTTTCTATTCTACCCTGAAATGCCTGATTCTCCTAATAGAGACATCTGAGCAATGCCACGGGCTTGGAATGCCCCAAGAGGGTAAGAATAGCCCACTGCGTGAGAGGACTTCTGCTGTGGTCTTCTGGACAGGCAGTTGTCAGGAATGCGTGGCCTCAGAGGCAAACAGCGCAGGCCCTCTGAACTCCAAGACAGTGAAACTGGTCTCCTCAACCCTTCCATTGCATATCTCCAAGCCTCATAGTTAAGTCTTTTTGTAGCTAAAAGATACTGATTCCTGCACATTGTGGGAAACGCAGTGTCTTTAGCAGCTTGACAGTCTTGAAGCATGGAACATTTGGACCTGCTGGGCTTCCTAATCATCACATTAAATTACAATGTGACTATTGTGGGTAAGTATTGGTAAAAACTTGGAAACCTCTTGTTCATCTTGTGTTTTCTTTTTTTTGCGGTATTAGAATCGAGTTCTTCTGAAAGACAGTGATTTCTTCATTTCAATTTGGTTTGCCCCTCCAAGAGAATAGATTGCATGTTGCTGAGGAAAGGGGAGTTACAGACACCAGTTTTCTTCTTCATCATTTTAAAGAAATCATGAGAAAAATGACGGTTGGTGTGTTGTTCCTCTTATGGAGCTGCTTCTGCCTGAACACTAAGGCAGATGGGAGGGGTATTTTTGTGTAACTATTCTCTAGCTCACAGTACCAGGAAAAGGAATACTACAGAAAAAAGTTAATGAGAAATTAATACCTAAGTTATGTCTTTTTGTGGTCCATCTTTTTAGATTTTCTTTTTAAAGCTTAATTTTTGCACATTCGTATTTTCTCGTGTGCACATCAAACCTCAGCTAAAGTTTAGATTTCTTGTTTGTGAACAACAAAAGAAAAAGTACTAAAGATGTCTGAGTTTGTTCCAGACAGGTCAAATTTCAGAGGGGTAGGTGTCATAGAAACACAATTTGAGAAAAGTCTTAAGATATCCTGAAAAGTGGTTGGTTGGTACTTTACTTTCTCATTATTTTGTAGAATTTAGACAAAACGTGCTTATTCCTAGAAGTTTAAGTCAAGGATTTTATCTGTAATAACTTTAATCTTTGACTTTAACTGAGTACATTTTTAATTAAGATTCTTGCTTGCTGATATCAGTGGTATGTTTTTCTATCTTGTCACAAAATACAATATTTAAAAATTTGTTTTGCAGCATCTGTAATGTGTTCCATAACAGTTGGCCCATGGCATGAAAATAGGGCTTTGCCATTATTTTGGTTGTGTAGGCTGGTCTCATTTACTCATTGATGAATTGAAGAAAGACAAATCTCTTTGATGCATATTAACTGAAATCAGGGAAAAGAACTTCTTTATTACTGGAAACATCTGAAAAATTGAACATTCCTAAAGAAATTCAATTTCAAGGATGACAGAACAATATTAAATGTAAGCCCCATAATTAAACAAAGATCTTGTAGGATATTATCATAAATAAAGATGATTTGCTGAAATTAGTAACATATATTTGCTATGCATATATAGTTACAAAGAAGCTCTGGTCGCGTAGTGGTTACAAATTGGGCTGCTAACCTCAGGATCAGCAGTTTGAAACTACCAGCTGTTCCACAGAAGAAAGATGAGGCTTTCTGCTCCCATAAAGATTTACAGCCTCGGAAACCCTGTACAGGGTCGCTATGGGTTGGAACTGACTCCACGCACATAACAATAACAACAACAGATAGTTACAGGAATATGCTAACATTTTAAAAATAGTTTATTCTTCTAAGAAAAGTAAGATCTGATTTACATTATTAATTTACATACCAAAACATTCTTTCTAGATAGTCCAGTTGAGGGAATATTACCAAAAGGATGAATTAGCAGGGCCAGATGCCTGTTTTAATTTGCTAACCACAAATATTTTACAAAGGAGTAGTTTCAGTGTCTGACTCATTTTAGGTGCTCAAATAAATAATTGTTTGATGACTGAAGTAGCGTGTACTGTTTCTGTGATTATAGATATGATCATTGGTGCTTATTGATTTCTGTCTTCTCCATTCTCAGCCTCAGTTAATACTGAAAAACTATCAATTGGGATGAAATACATTCACATGGCTGGGGCACTCTTACTCATGCCTGCTTCCTCTTCTCTAGGAAAGATCTGGCTTATCTTCATGATTCTGTTGAGGATGATGGTGATCATTTTGGCAGGGTATCCCATCTACCAAGATGAGCAGGAAAGGTTTGTTTGCAATACTCTGCAGCCCGGATGTTCTAATGTTTGTTATGACATCTTCTCTCCTGTGTCCCACTTTCGGTTCTGGCTGATTCAGAGTGTTTCTGTCCTCCTCCCTTATGCTGTCTTCAGTGTCTATGTGCTCCACCAAGGGGCCATGCACGCTGCAGCAGGACATTGCTATTCCGATATCAGCAAAGGGGACTACAACTCTTGTGACCAGATCACTGCAGAGAGGCATTGCCTGCGGCCATCCAGGGAGGAGCACAACCTGGACATCCCAGACTTCTCTTCTGGTTACATAGCCCACCTCTTTCTTCGCACCTTGATCGAGGCAGCTTTTGGAGCCTTGCACTATCTCCTTTTTGGGTTCATGGTTCCAAAGAGATTCTCTTGCTCCCACTCTCCTTGCACCAGTGTGGTGGATTGTTACATCTCTCGGCCCACGGAGAAGTCCATTATGATGCTTTTCATCTGGGGAGTCAGCGGCCTCTCCTTCCTCCTCAGTGCCCTTGATCTGATGTGCAGCATGCGGAGAAGGATGGGGAGGAAGCGAGCACCTAAGCGGGTGGCCAGGACTTCTTCCAGCAGGAGAGAGTGCAAAGTCTTGAAGTTACCTCCTGGCTGCACTGAGGACCTTGTGGCCTCGCGGAGCCTGGGGAGAAGACCTAGCCACATCAGTGAAGATGGTGTGTGGGAAGAAGAAGTGCCCACTCACCCAGGCATGTGGGCTGGAGAGGAGGGTGCTAGGACCAACTTCAACAGTCCCAGTGAGAAGTCCGGTATGTCAGGAAGGATGGAGCTTCCAGATGAGGATGAGAGTGAGGTGATGTCATCAGCCAGTGAGAAGCCAGTCAGGACTCATCAAGATCTCCGGGGCAGACTCCACAGAGGGACCACCCAGGATTCAAGGACTGAGGGTCATGATAACTGGGGAGAGCTCCCCTCAGCCCCTCGAAGCCGACTTGCGGGGCATTATTCATCCACTGAGTTACAGCCCCATGACCTGCTGGCAAACCCCAGCAGTGCTACCCACCTGAGAACCAAAAGGTCTGAATGGGTGTGAGGAGGAAAGGTCCAGCTGTGAGCCCAGAGGCAAGGCTGGACCAAGCTGGGGCAGCTCCTGCTCCGTTCTATTGAAAATACGGGCCGAAACCTATTGCTCTTCTAAGTTCCAAGAAAGGCAAACTGGCATAGTGACAAATGAACCTTATGGGAAGGTCGTTTTCTGGTGAAAAAATTATTTGATTTTCCAACGCTGACAAGAAGCTGAAATGATTAATTGAAGAGCATCAGGTTTCTGATTACTTAAGCTGTAATATATGCCATACTCTGAGTGGTCCTATTATCTTATTCTCTAGCATTGTTTGCTCTTCATGTGAAGAATTTTCTCTGCATTAATAGAACTCATTAATTTTGCACTGGTTTTTGGTGAATTGTACTGTAGATTTTTTCTTGTTTGTGTTCGCATGTTTTTCTCCTTGGAAGAGAGTCAGAGGCTATGCATGTCATTAATAGAGAGATACCAGTTAGTGTTTAATTTTCTCAAACCTCTTTAATAAAATTGATGCTCATTGCATTGCAAAGTCATGCTTCACATCTCATTGTGCTTTAGAAGAAATGACAAATGTGAGCAAGTAAGGCTGGAAAGCAGTTGCTTTGGGAAGTGCTTTAGTTTCCTACGCTATGCAGACCAGTGAAGTACCTCATACGGCTCTTCTACTCATAGTCTTTGCAACTCCCATCAAATCACTTATTTCCCAATGGGTCTGAGTAAGAGAAGGTGGGAGAAGATGCTGACAGGATTTTATGGTTCACTTGTGAGGGATTGTTAACACGGTGACTTGTGATTGTAAACACCTGGAATGCTAACATGGGTACAAGATAAGCCAGCTCAGAAGTAGGAGGGGGAATTTCACTACTATAAAGGAAGCGTTAGGAGCAGAGTGCAGCCTTTTGACCCCTTGAACCTGCTTGGCCCAGGAGACCCCTGTGATGTTGGAGGAGTAACTTCAGAGGCATGATAGTAAAGCAAGAACTGGAGCGCCGGGCAGAGGGGTGGGATCCCCATCCCATGATGTTGTTGTTAAGTGCTGTCAATCGGTTCTGACTCAAGGCAACCCTGTATAGGGTTTCCAAGAAGCAGCTGGTAAGCTTGAACCACCGACCTTACTGTTCAAACTGACCTTGCAGTGTAGCGCATTAATCTGCAGTACCACACCAGGACTCCGCCCCAGCCCATGGAGGAAGTTAAGTTCAGTGCCTTTGGGCAAGAGGCTCACTTGTGCTGTGGGGTACCTCCAAGCTCTTAATTGGGGAACTAGGTTTGCTGACCTGAGGAGCTAGAGCTGAGTGCCTTCAGGTAAGATTTATTCAGAGAGGAGTGCCCTGTGGGCATTTATCAGCAGTACAAGCCCCCATAATGAAACAGATTTTGAGGACCGTTAACATAAATAAGGAGCTCTGGTAGCATAGTGGTTATGAATTGGGCTGCAAACCTTAATGCCAGCTGTTCGAAACTACCAGTTGTTCCGCAGGAGAAAGATGAGGCATTCTCTTCCCGTAAAGATTTACAGCCTCGGAAACCCTGTACAGGGTCGCTATGGGTCGGAAACGACTCGACGGCACTTAACAACAACATAAATAAGTATGACTTACTGAAGTTAGTAACATGTATTTGCTATACTTACATAGTTATTGGAATATGCTAACATTTAAAAAAATAGTTTGTTCTTCTAAGAGTAAGATCTGATTCACCTCATTAATTTATGTACCAAAGCATTCTTTCTAGATAGTCCAATTCTGAAAGGCTGAATTAACATCACATTAGCAGAGCTTTGTAACATTACTGAAAAGCAGGCAGAGGTCAGACCAGGGTGCTAAGAGCCAGAAAGAGGCCTGCCTATGGGCACAGCTGAGGAGAGTCTGTACTGACTGAAGGAACTATGTCTGACCATTTCCAATCCTGAACTGAAACCTGTTAACTTCCCTCATAAACTTCACAGCTGTGAGTATGCTGTCTGAGTTCAGTGTGGCCATCGCGATGGGAACTATGGAACCCAGAGTGCTGGGGGTGGGGTGGCTGCTGTCAGACTTAGAAGAGAAGCTTTGGAGGCATGCTTGACCTGAACCACAAAGGAATCGGCCTTGAACTGATGTTGAATTTGATTCTCGTTCCCCCTGGTAAAATAAGAGGTCAGATGTCACACCTGTGCCCTTTCTTATAGCTACCACAAGAAAATGCAGTAAAACCTGCAGAAGCCAGAGCCTGTTGGAGAAGGAAAACAAGCATTTTCCACTAAAAATGAACTCTGTCAAAGGTAGAAAAACTTGTGAGACCTGGAAAAATAAGGCTCTCGCAGATTTCATTGTACCACATGGTACCAGAAATTTATTGTTTCAGTTCTAGAGACTGAAAATCCATGTTCTCTCTGAAGATTCTAGAAAAAGATCTTGCAGCTGCAGCTTAACTTAATTTTCACATGGCTGTCTTCCCTATATCTATTTTGCAGAACACCACTCACATTGGATTAGGACCCACCCTACTTGGAATCGACTCCTATTAACTTAAATGATAACATCTTCAAAGACCTTACTTCCAAACAAGGTCATATTCACAGGTACCTGGCATTAGTAGGTCATGTTGTTGTTGTTGTTGTTATGTGCCATTGAGTGGGTTCCGACCCATAGTGACCCTGAACAGGGTTTCCAAGGCTGTAAATCTTTACGGGAGCAGAAAGCCTTATCTTTCTCCCACGGAGCAGCTGGTCATGTTAGTACGTCAATGTAATGTGGGGGGAGAAGAGCTCTAGTAGCGTAGTGGTTACGAATTGGGCTGCTAATCTCATGGTCAGCAGTTCGAAACTACCAGCTGTTCGGTGGGAGAAAGATGAGGCTTTCTGCTCCCATAAACATTTACAGCCTTGGAAACCCTGTACAGGGTTGCTATGAGTCGGAATCGACTCCACGGCACATAACAACAACAAACAGTTCTATCCATAGCGGGGCATCTTATATTGTTACAACATGTTGATGTGGTATGAATTCTTGGTGTGTTTAGTTGTCCTTTGGGGTATGTGTGATGGGTGACCTTTCTTATCCTCCAGAAGAGTGTGGTTTTTTATTTTTCATTGTGAATTATGTGGTAGTTTACATGGGATAATGTTAGCTTTACATTCATCCTATCGTATATCGTTTCATTGCCATGGTTACAATCCCCTCCATGCATCATCAACCAACCAAAGGGTATACCCTGCAAGCCTGCCCCCTGGTCAGCACAGATGAAGAGAACTAAGTGAAATGGGCCTAGAATAAGATCTCTGTACTTCTCAATGGTCCTCTTTGAATCACAATCATTTTAAAAAAGAAAGGATCTTCATCAGGTCTAACTGTGTATGTATGCACATGTTTTAGTTTAGTGCTTTGGTCTTTACACAGTATGAAAAGCTCATTCGATATTTGTCTAAGTCCACCTTTCCAGGGGCTTTAATTCAGAATTCTCTTCAGGCAAGTGTCCAGGTGGATTCTGAGGTGGTCCATCAGGGGATGAAAATTCACTGATGGAATCCAAACCCCGAACCAACGAGTACAACTTGTTACCTGCTGAGGCAAAAATGAAAGAAAGATTATGTGGATTAAGGAGTTTATGCTTATAAAGCAGTTTGTGTGTAGCCAAGAAAAGTAGTATTTATGAAATGAATAAATTTGACCTTTTTTTTTTTTTTTTTTTTGTAGGATGTTGCAATCTACTGTAGGAGCCTATTTCCAATTTTCTGAGTATGGATTTGGTTTCAGGCAAGGAATGATGAAGAGGGTGGTGCTTTACTGATGAGGAGAGGGGATGTATGAGCATCTCAGGCACAGACTTGCTGAAGATCTCATACAATGGAAATGCCTCCCACCCATAACTTAGACATTCCAATTCCAGGGGTTGGGTTAGCAGCAGAACCTGGTAAATCCAGCCAGCTGTATTTTGGTTGTGCTGTAGGATGAATGTTTCCTAGAAACGAACCAGATGTTATTCTCCATTCCCCCCTTTGAAATGTTTGCATAATCCCCACTCCCCCCAGTCATAGAGTAATTCTCTTCCTTGAGGGACTTTCTCTTGAGTGACTCTGTGCTGTAACCTGAGAGAAGATATGTAGATGGCAGAAAATAGAGCTAAAAGAAGTGACTGGATTTTCTTATCAGCGGAACCAAGATAAAATTAGTTTCACAGAGAATTCAGGAAATTAAAAGTCAAATGCACAAACTAGATTTTAGGACTGGGTCACTTCCCTTCCCGGACAGGTAGAACAGAGGAGTGTGTGGCATGTTTAAAAGACTGAGGGATTGTAAGAGAGTGTCCACCTGGCAATGAAACTGACAGTTTACTCCTTTGGCCATTTTAGTGCTGAAAGACTCCAATGACACAAGATTCTTTGTCATTTAACTGGTTCCTCTCCCTTCCCACCCCGTACTTCCTACTTACTCCATACTCAACAGGTACTTAACTGGGTTTTGTGTTTTTGTAAATAGAAGTCTGTCTGTTTTGTTTTAGGTACACTATTTTGTATTCTTCTATAAAAATGCAACCCCCTCTCCCCGGTTTACACTTTGTTTTGTATGATGAGAATGGTGAGATCTTACCTCTTCCACCATCCTCATTTTTCTCATGTTCCTTTTGTACCTTGGAAAGCTTTCTACTCGAATTTCCTTGTACCCGATCCAGATGAACATGCACATGGAAGCCCACACAGACACACAAATCAACACAGTCTGAGAATCCTTCTTGAGTTCCACTTACTCAGGGAAACAGATGGGTCTCTTTGTACCATGGGTATTTTACGCTTCAACCCTCTTTCAGAATTTTCTCATCCATCCTCCCTTTTACTTTACATGGTATCTGAATTTCCTGCTACCTGTAAACATCCTGGTGTGGTGCTGTAGGATCACCACTGGACTGTGAACCACAAGATCAGCAGTTCAAACCCACCAGGTGCTCCTCAGAAACCCTATGTAGGGTTGCTATGAGTTGGAACTGACTCATTGGCTCCCAACAACAACATAAACATCCTGCTAAGTTTA